ATATATAAAACTTATATATATAAATAATCATGTTTTATAATTAAAATTTATCTGAATTGTAAAATAGAAACCATTTAATGGAAAAGGTTCATTGTATTAGAGAGTCTAACTTCCAATTAAATGATTAATATTTTACAATTTAAATCAGTTTAAATGGTAAAACACATTTTTAATATATATATATAGAAAAATGATCTATACACTCTCAGTTCAACACATTTTTTGATATATTTTTAATTCAATTATTAAAAATGTAATACAAATATAATCAATTCAATTAATTTTTATATCTTGTACACATGATTATATTTTAAAATTTGTCTGTTTTTAATTTTAAATTAAAAAATAATAATTTTTTTAATAAATATATTATATAATATATTGAATCGAAATATATATTACTCACGTTCCACACATATATATATATATACACACACACACGATTCACCTCAGCTTGCACATACACCAAATTGTAAAAAAGAATATATAAGAAAACAATATAAATCATCACCACTAAACTTATTAACAGTTCTGCCAAATCATTACATAATTCACAATTCCGTAGAATATTCAAATGAAGAAAGAGAAAAAGAGGTAAAAAAAACAAAACAAAACAAAACAAAGACTCCAAGACCCAAAAGAGAACTCAATATTGACTCAACACACATCATCATGACTCACCCAAGGCCGGGGTTGACAAATTATTTTAATTTAAAGCACTGACCGTGTTTCCATCACAACCGTTCACTGATCATTGGACCCCACCCCTTATTGTCTCATCATCATCACCATCAAATCCACCTTCTTTTTCATTTTTCTTTTCTAATTTTTCCTTGTCATCACCAACAAAATGCCGTCAGCGTGGAAATTACTCCCAGGAATATCACATTTTGCATGGCGAAACTCAAACCGTGGGCGCTGCTAACGGAATTATCCGCTTCAGATTTCTTTTTCTTAGTGCCCTGATCAGCCGGAGCCGGTGCCGGAGCGTGAGGTGGCTTGGGGCCGAAGATTGCCAGTGGAAGGAGCACTTGATCTATTTGATAAATAGCCAGCTGACCATCAGTGTATACAGTTCCGGAGATGCTTGTATTTGTAAGGCCACTCGTGAGATTCACTGCGGTGCCTACAGTTGTGACATTGAGTTGAAACCTACCAGGTCCCGAGTCTCCGGCCTGGGTGCTTACTGGGTTGCTCACCGTTTGGAACAGGGAGGGTGTGAGGTACGTGGGAACGATATGGAACTGTACCAGCTCAGTCTTCTCTTCGTCATTGAGTTTGTTTAGGGTTCCGGATTTAAGAGAGGCAAAGGCATTATCAGTGGGAGCAAAAATTGTGTAGGCATTGTTTGTATTATTCAGCTGACCATAGAGTTGGCTTGCCTCGGAGGTTGCTCTCAAGAGGCGATTGAAGACAACAAATTGCCCCGCTTTTTGGAGGATTTTAGTCACATCGGTGGGGCCTGTAGATGGCGCGCCCACTGGTGGAGCAGGGACTGCGACAGGGGGTGGTGGGATGGGGGCTGCAGCGGGAGCTGGTGGGGTGGGGGCTGCAACGGGGGCTGGTGGAGCAGGCGCTACAACCGGAGCTGGAGGAGCAGGGGCTGTAGTGGGGGCTGCAGCAGGCCCTTGTGCTAGGGTTTGAGAGGAATGGAGGAAAACTAGGAGGAGGAGGAAGGGGAGAGTTCTGAAGAGAAGTTGCTCCATTATCGATCTTTGTTGCAAAATGGGATGCAATTCTGAATGTGAACAAAAGGGAAAAAGGGGGGGTTTTATATATTATGGAGAGGATTGGAGAATTAATCGAATTAGGTGGTGAAGCAAAATTCTCATACTATGTAGTTGTTATGGGATCTCTATTATTTATCTTTTGATGGGATGTGGGAAATTAATTGAAGAGATAAACATGATTTATGATATGGTACTGTCGGAGCAACTTGATTGCTTGGAAAAGAAGAAAAAAAAAAAACAGATAGAAGAGATGATCTTAAATATAATGTGGGCTAGCAGAGATAGATATGTTATGATTGCTTTGGTTCTACTATAAGATATATTTTGGGTGAAATATGTTTGTTCTCCAACTGCCTAAGTTTCCTCAGTGATTTGTTGCATAAAAATAAAGGGTTTTTCAAGGCATAGGTTAAAAAGAGTAATTAAAATATATATTTTTATTAAATTATATAAAAAGAACAAAATTTGACTTTAATTTTAATAATTAAAAAATTAAATTAAGATACGTAACATTGATATTAAAATTAATATCAATTTTTTTGTTTTTATATAAATTAATGA